TAAGAACACACACGACTCCTGGTGAGAATCACAACATATTCAAACCCCACTGGCTGTTGCTGCAAATAAAACTTTGCAGAACTGCTTGAGGGCAAGAAGAAGAACAACAGACATTATAGCTATATAACAGTCCTGTGGTGCTATAGGAAACCTAAGCCTGCATCTTCCTGTACCTGTACTCCAACTTAGTGTTTTGTTTTCACACAGAAAACTCTTAAAACAGTCAAAAAGTAAACTTGGGTAATATATATCTTAGTTTGTCCTAACCGCTTCGAAATGTATTTTCCCTCCGAAAGTCTCGTAGTAGTAAAATCCCACTGACAGTGGTTCTACACACTAATCTCAGACAGAACATCTCTCTCACGCATCACTCCTCTGTCCCTGACCCCTAACCTCTGACCCTTGACAGAAAAAGAAAGGAATATTGCATGCATTCTGGAGTGAAAGAACTTAAGGAAAACCTGCTTTCTTTCCAGCAGAAGAACGACAATCACTTCTTCTCTTCTTAAGACAAACCACTAGACACAAAATGAAAGTGTATTGGTCTTATTCCCTTCTTTCCAAAGCTGAGAGGGAGAGAGAGCAAGCATAACTCTGACTGGATCAATATGTGCAAATATATGACTGTGTTGTGAGAAAACAAGAGGAGACAGACCCTGGGAGTGTTTTTGGTGAAGTAAGAGGTCTTTCACGAATTTAACAAAACTCAAATAAAAGAGGAACCACACCAATGGCACACATATTATAGACCAATAAAGCCACTCACATCATTGGTGCAGAGACTTGCTAAACAATCAAAATAAAACCCGGGCATATGAATGAATCTGCCATATCTCTCAGCACTTTCAGAACAGTGAAAACTATCGGTCTAATTTGAATAGACAAAAGACTGAGAGGTGATATGAGTGGCAAACTATCCTCCTTAACCACACTGCTTGGTGAGGACATCCAAATGTTCTTTGGTATAGATCCTATACCTCAACTTTCACCAAGGAACACCTATCCCCAATAATTAATTGTATTAATTAAAATTATTATACTTCATAATAATTACCTTTATTGATAATTATCTACATCATTATCACTAACAGGGGATTATACTGTATGGTACACACTCACTCACTCTGACTACATCTAGCTACTGTACCATATTAACTTCTGAGTTCTTCTGCAAACAAGGCAATGGAAATAATATGTAACATGGAAACAAACATCCCTTTCAAACTATCAACATCTAAAGGCTAAAAATAAAGTCAACTGAAAGCTTTGGTCTCAATGCCAGAGGGAAAAAAGTAGTGGAACAACAACTAAATCACAAACAAAAATAGTATGTGTTCTTTTAGCATCATAGATTAGTATGAGAAATGCTTTGTCTCACAGTGGAAAATAACAACTGAAGATGAGACAGTCACACTATGTCTGCGTCTGAAATGGCACACTATTCCCTAGGCACTATATAGGGAATAGGGCACCATTTTGGATGCACCCTGTCTTCTCGAAAGAGTGATGTGTGCAATATCAGACAAGCCCTCATCGACAAACATAATCTTAGTATATTTCTGAGAAAGTTTACAAAGCACCTCCTTCCCTCCTTGCAAAGAAGATTCATTTGATTTATGTTTCTGTGACATAGACATGTATAGTTATATATATTTAAAAGTCAACCCAGTCCTGCTCACCATAGAAAAACAAAACAGATATTTTCTTTAATATATGCATATTTCTATTAAAAGACATTCAACAGTGAGCAATGCAATAGTTCAAGTAAAATAGTTAGGGCCCTATAGGGCTCCTAGTAAAAAACGAACCAAAAGTCAACAAAAGAACAACCTTCAAACCACGGTGGAGGATAAGGAAGGAGAGGAGACTGAAGTGAAGATAGACAGGCTCTAGAGCTACCTCAGTGGACAAACCTAACAGAGCAGGGCTACTGAGGTCGAAAGACACCATTAGAACCAGGTAGACACCATTATAATTAATGACATAGCTTACTGTCTGGGTGTTGTTTACCAGTCCAGAGATTAAAGAGGGTTTTGTTATGAAACTGTTATGTAGCAAAAGGGTAGCCTAGCATCCCGCCTGAGGGTCCTTGCCAAAAAGAAAACAGGGACGAGGAGACACACAAACAAACTTCCATCTAGCAGAACTGCCTGATCCAGTTTTACATTCAACATAACCTCTAACCCCCTTCCCTCCGCCAGTACACACCCCCACTACACTCCATACAGAAGAGCTGAACCTCACCTTAACCCTAACAGCTGTTACTAGGCAGATCAGAACATACAGACCAGGGAGAGACTGAATAAGGGAGAACCCATCTCTTCAGAGGGAGTGTGTCACACCTTCTCCTTCCTCCTCCCTTGCATGTGTTCCCTATCAAGCGCTTTCAGCACTGACTGTGTTCTAGTGACCCCTCCACCCCCACTGCCTCATCTGGCTTATCTTAGTGCACTACTCCAAGGGGTGGGGGTGTATGTTAGATAAAGATGATTCGCTCAAGGGTATGGCGTCGTTGTGGAGGAGATACAGGGGAGATAGATACTCGGTGGGCAGGCGGCGTAGAGGCCTGGTTTTTACAAGGCTGTATCATTCACTCATTCATTCACCATGATGATTCCACTTCACCACCACCACACAGCTAGATAACGTGACCTTAACTTTCCTCCTCCCACTCACACACACTGAGCACTGGTTCTCACTGGTGTGACCCCATACACTTTACTGATTTCCACTGGTAGTTCAGTAAAGACTCCAGACGATATACAGGTGCTGTCTGACTTTGTAACAAGTGCTTAGTCCTGTTTTCAAAGTATGACAAGAGAGCTACTTATTTGTGTAACTCTAAATCTGTTAGATCAATTTTGGTAGTCAACCTCACTGGAGTAGTGTCTTTACCCCAATTGTGCCAAAACATTTGTCCAGTAAGGTGCAGAAATTTGGAGGGGGCTCGCTCCTCATAGTCATAGACAAGGGCTGAGTGTGTCTGATTAAAAACCGCTGTCTTTGTTCTACTCCAGGGTCACTAAATCACCCCTCTGCTGCAGCACTACCCTCTCCTGTCAACAAAGGCCTTAAATATGGCCTAAGATTAACAGGTAGGGAGGGGACAACTGTCTGGGAGACAGGACCCCAGGGACACTCAGAGATGGAAGAGGAAGTGAAACAACCCACTCGCTGTTTTTTTCTGGTTCAATGAAAGTCAATTAACTAAGTAGACCAGAAATTGACGATTTATTTTCAATGGTAAATAGTTCTCTCAGGCTATCTTCATTTATCCACCATATTTGACCTCACTGGCCCATTGTCTGTCTCAGAGGCTGCTGGTTAGATAGGCAGCAAGGAGAGCCAATGGTAAAACAGTAGCCAAACAACAGCCAATCAGAATAGAGAGTTTCATATCAGGAAGTAGAGGTGACTGAATAGACTGGAAAATTGCACATTGTGGTTTGTCATTTTGTCAATATTTATTGTGCGATGTTATAATCTTTTATTTTCAACAGAAATGTTTCCACTGGTCATAAAGTCAAGCACTGGGTAAGAAGTTTGAGTGAAACACAAACAAAAGAAAAAAAGGAAAAAAATAAAAACAACATATCTTCAAAAGCTTCACTGTGCACTTTGATTATCTCTCCTGCGAGTCTGGCTGGAAGCTGGGTTCGTTCAGCTCTCCGGGTGACTGCTAACCTAAATAATCATAATACAATGTTGGATTGCACTTTCTTCAAGTTTTTATCATCAGCAAAAGCATTCGTCTTCAACTTGAAACTCCCCCCCTCCCTACCTGCTTCGTGTACACTAAAACAGTTCAAAGCCTATTATCTCAAAGGTTCCGTAACCAATACATAAAGTCCCCGTTTGTTTTAAACAGACATTAGCATATACTACACATAATCTTTTGTTTAAAACAAACGTGTTTCAGGTTCTAAGGTAGTTTGTTTCTCCTAAGTTTTGGGATTTGGTGTCAAACCGTACGGTGCAGCCTTGGCTGGGCTCTCCTCTTAGATAAGTGCTTCTAACTCGACCGTGACCGCCATCTAGATGGTCAAACCCACCGACCGTCTCCGTCTGTGCGTACCATCCCCTCAGAGCTTATAGTGCACGAGCACTGGGCCCAAACTCTGTTTTATGTGTGGTATTAAACAAAGCAAGCACTCTCTTTCCTCTTCTCCATTCATACAGACTAATAAAAACACAATGGACTTTTTTTCTGCCCATGCCAACTTTGGTCTCTATAGGTGACTATAACAACATGACTTTACCATAACTTACAATGTGTCAAAGGAAATAGGATCCAGCCAAGCAAGAAAACAAACTCACTCTCCATCTACAGTTAGTATAAAAGCAAGCTTTTTTTCTTCTTTTAAGAGTACAAAACCTTTTTATCTCGCTTGTGGCCCCTTTCGACTCTTCCCTCCCTTTTATTCTCCCTCCCCCCAAACCTTCAGCAGCAGTCTATATGGAGGGACACTGAACAACTGTCTTTCGTCTGTTATGCTACATTATTTTTGCTTCTCATACGGAGAGGGACAGAGAACATACACTCGACATCATCATAATCATCATCTCTTGCATTTAGCAGACAAGCTGTAAACAAAATAAATTGTCCAAATGAAAAAATAAAGAAAGAAAATAATAATTTGGGGGACAGGAAACAAAGCCTTAAAATTGAGCGTTTTCATGTTATTGTTTTTCTGTAAAAGAGTTCCTGGCTGGAGTTTAGGCTGCAGCGGGGTCACCTGAAACTCGGCTCTTCTCTTTTCCTTACGTTTTTTCACATTCACAAACATTTATAACTTCCTTGTGCAAATCAAGCAGTCTTTAGAAAGAATGCCCTCCAATTGTTCTAGTAAAAATATATATAACTCCAAGGTGGCTGACGTGTGTGTTGCAGCAAGTGTTTCTGTATTTGTTTCTTTCGGGGTTTTTTTTTATCTCAGGTTTTTTCTCAGGTTCTGGGTACAAGTTTGTACCCCCCACCCCGTCCCCTCATCCCTCCTGGGGCTGGGTAGGAGGGGGGGGGGCTCATCTCCGTGGGGCAGGGCCGGAGGATGAGGGCATCTGTGCGTAGACTGGGTAGGCCAGGCGCACGTTGAGCGAGTCGTTGTGCTGGACCAGGGAGGTCTGGTGGTAGTGCAGGACCAGGTCTTTCAGAGAGCTGTACAGGTTGTAGGGCTCAGCGAAGCCGTAGCCCCTCTGCGTGCTGTAGATCACACAGTGCTTCACCTCACCCTCCACACTGTAGAGAGAGGAGAGGAGGTGTTAATACTAGCCTAACACACAATGAAAACAAAGCAGTTGGACATGGACACATACTTGCGACTGCTTATAGAGTGCCTTCGGAAAATACGTTACAGCCTTATTCTAAAATTGATTAAATAAAACATTTTCCTCATCTATCTACACACAATACCCCATAATGACAAAGCGAAAACAGGTTTTTAGAAATGTTTGTACATTTGTAATAATAACAATTTACGTAAGTATTCAGACCCTTTATTATGAGAATCGAAATTGAGCTCAGGCGCATCCTGTTTCCATTGATCATTCTTGAGATGTTTCTACAACTTGATTGGAGTCCACCTGTGGTAAATTCAATTGATTGGACATGATATAAGGTCCCACAGATGATGTGCATGTCAGAGCAAAAACCAAGCCATGAGGTGAAAGGAATTGTCCGCAGAGCTCCGAGACAGGATTGTCTCGAAGCACAGATCTGGGGAAGGGTACCAAAACATTTCTGCAGCATTGAAGGTCCCCAAGAACACTGTGGCCTCCATCATTCTTAAATGGAAGAAGTTTGGAACCACCAAGACTCTTCCTAGAGCTGGCCGCCCCGCCAAACTGAGCAATCAGGAGGTGACCAAGAACCAGATGGTCACTCTGACATAGCTCTAGAGTTTCTCTGTGGAGATGGGAGAACCTTCCAGAAGGACAACCATCTCTGCAGCACTCCACCAATCAGGCCATTGTGGTAGAGTGGCCAGATGGAAGCCACTCCTCAGTAAAAGGCACATGACAACCCGCTTGCAGTTTGCCAAAAGGCACCTAATGGACTCTCAGACCATGAGAAACAAGATTCTCTGGTCTGATGAAACCAAGATTAAACTCTTTGGCCTGAATGCCAAGCGTCACGTCTGGAGGAAACCTGAAACCATCCCTACGGTGAAGCATGGTGGTGGCAGCATCATGCTGTGTGGATGTCTTTCAGCGGCAGGAACTGGGAGACTAGTCAGGATCGAGGGAAAGATGAACGGAGCAAAGTACAGAGAGATCCTTGATGGAAACCTGCTCCAGAGCGCTCAGGACCTCTGGCGCGAAGGTTCACCTTCCAACAGGACAACAATCCTAAGCACACAGCCAAGACAACGCAGGAGTGGCTTCGGGACAAGTCTCTGAATGTCCTTGAGTGGCCCAGCCAGAGCCCGGACTTGAACCCGATCTAACATCTCTGGAGAGACCTGAAAATAGCTGTGCAGCGACGCTCCCCATCCAATCTGACAGAGCTTGAGGGGATCTGCAGAGAAGAATGGTAGAAACTCCACAAATATAGGTGTGCCAAGCTTGTAGTGTCATACCCAAGAAGACTCAAGGCTATAATCGCTGCCAAAGGTGCTTCAACAAAGTACTGAGTAAAGGGTCTGAATACTTATGTAAATGTGATATTTCCGTTTTTTTATTTTTTGTAAATGTACAAACATTTCTAAAAACCTGTTTTTGCTTTGTCATTATGGGGTATTGTGTGTAGATTGATGAGATTTTTATTTTATTTTATCCATTTTAGAATAAGGCTGTAACATAACAAAATGTGGAAAAAGGGAAGGGGTCTGTATATTCTCTGACGGCACTGTATAAGAGCAGTTTTTGACACACTCACAGAGGATTATTGAACTACCACAATTTAGCAAGACTTACCATGGCATATCATCATCGCAGAGACTCAATCAGTAGTACATATTGAGACACTTACACTACGGAACATGCTTATCTTATTGATAGTATATACTTGAGTACTTACACTACGGAGCATGCTTATCTTATTGATAGTATATACTTGAGTACTTACACTACGGAGCATGCTTATCTTATTGATAGTATATACTTGAGTACTTACACTACGGAGCATGCTTATCTTATTGATAGTATATACTTGAGTACTTACACTACGGAGCATGCTTATCTTATTGATAGTATATACTTGAGTACTTACACTACGGAACATGCTTATCTTATTGATAGTATATACTTGAGTACTTACACTACGGAGCATGCGTAGCAGCCCTTCTTGCTGCTCTCCCTAATGAGGAAGGCTCCGTCAGGTTTGCCCAGTAGAAGGTCTTCAGACTGGGTTCTGTTCAGGTCTCCTACAAACCAGCTCTTCTCATCATAGTGGGGCAGGTTCTCATCCTCCTCCGTACTCACAAAGTACCCTCTACACACACAGGAGACAGGGGAGCGAGATAAGCATAGGGTTTAGCAGAGATTCATTTGAGATGATGCATTTATGGTGTAGCCAACATATAAAATGAGAACGATTTCCTCAAATCTATATCCCTCAAACATGAATATAGTGATGAGACTATTGTGAATGAGCAAAGCCAATGTCAAGTCTATTGCTCCAGTATGTCCATGCTACAGATAGAGTGAGCCTTGCAGTGCGAGGCTGGGAGGCCGTGCTCTGAACACTTACTCATCTGTGTTCTCGTTCTTGATCCCCAGCCAGTCGTTAATTCGTTTCTGTCGCACTCCTTTGTGATTGAGCCAGCTGCAGAGAGAGAGAGAGAATGAAAAGAGAGGAGAAATGACTACAAACATCGAGTTAAAGCCCTTCTTTCATTATGCACATCATTCCTCCATTGAACAGAACAGACGACAAAAGGTATTGAATTAGTAGCACTCGCACAACCCTTCTGAATTAATCTGTGTATAGAAACGAGGCAGACCTGGTAATGCTATTACAGGCTTCCTAGAAGCCATGGCCTTTCTCTCCCCAGGCAGCCCAGAGACTTCCCTATAAAGAGCCTGCTGTAGCTAAGAGGAAACACAAGCTTGTAATATGGCAGCTCTCCAGTTAACCCCGTACGAACTCCACGTTTACCCCTTGCGGTCTGGGTTACTACTTACACAAGGTATTGGTCCCTGATCTTGCGGAGCTGGATGAGGTCAGGTTTGAGGCTGTTCATCTTCTTGTCTGTCTCTCTGTTGTCCAGAGCCTGGGTCTTCAGGTCCTGCTCCAGACGAATCTTACTGTCGTGGATCTCACCTAGACGAGACTTAAGCTTCTCATAGTTCATCATGATCCTATAGGACAGAGAGGGAGCGGAGGGGAGGAGGAGGAGAGGGGGAGGATGGGTCAGGATACTGCATCCTTTATGTATACTACTGCGCTACTATTACCATTATTCATAACTATTTCCATCACCCCCACAACCTAACATCCTGTTAAACACTTAAGGTCAATCTAGACACCACACTCTTTAATGTACACAAACATGACTTTGCCTGATGACAAATAGAGTGTATTCCATTTGGAGCAGGTCTGAGCCAATAAAAAAAAAACGTCCACTGCATACCTCTCGATCTCCTTGTCGTTGCCCTCCCGGCGGAAGCGCTCAATGTACTCTTTGCTGTAGCGCTCCTGCGTGTGACACTGCTCCTCAAAGATCTTGATGGTCTCGTTGAAGGCCTCGATGGCCGTCCTCTTCATCTGAATCTCCTGAGAGGGTTTACAAAGACATCAGGGCTATTAGTCCTCCACTCATCAGCCTGATAATGGTGTAATCTTCTAACGAATAAAGTCTATATCTATCTGTCTCGATTTATCAGCCAGGCACAGTCATATACACCTGGAAGTATACTGGTTGGCTGGATGTCCTTTGGGTGGTGGACAATTCTTGATACACAAGGGACACTGTTGAGCGTAAAAACCCAGCAGCGTTGACACAAACCGGTGCACATGGCACCTACTACCATACCCCGTTCAAAGGCACTTACATGTTTCACCCTCTGAATGGCACACATACACAATACATGTCTCCATTGTCTCAAGGATTAAAAATCCTTCTTTAACCTGTCTCCTCCCCTTCATCTACACTGATTGAAGTGGATTTAACAAGTGACATCAATAAGGGTTCATAACTTTCACATGGATTGACCGGGTCAGTCTATGTCATGGAAAGAGCAAGTGTTCTTAAAGTTGTGTACACTCAGTGTAGCTGTTCCTTTCCTGATTAAAATAGAACATAGCTAGCTACTAGGTCTGTATTGGGTTTGGTGATGCAGGTGCAGGGTAGGTGTGTGTGGTATGATGGGCTAACAGTGTAGTGTGGTGTGTA